TGTCTGACAATGAGCGCATGTTGCATGCCCGATCGAATGTCCTTTGATATCAAACGTCTTTTGGGAGTACTTATATTTCATTATGCGAAAAAAGGTAGCACACACAAAAGCATAGCTCAAGAAATACACACACACACGCACACACACACATTGTTGAGAGCCAAGGACCTGTTGTCATCATCATCATCAAGATCAACATCATCATCAGCATCATAATCATTCCTCTCCCCTGTCTGAGTCAACCCCTTTGCGGCAGTTCAAGTGAATTCTTGATGCTGGTGCTTCGAAATTCTCTTCTTCTTCTTTGTTACTTGGAACGCACACTTCAACCAACCCTCGCTCTGGCCTGGTCTGGCCTGGCAGTCTGTCAGTCTGACTGTCTGACGGTCTGCCTGCGTCAACTCCTTTTGCCAGCATTGTGATTGTCTCCTGGCGGCAGGCTTCCACCGCTTGACACTTGCAGATTAGTAAAGTGTTGAGTCTTAAATATATTTCCTGCTAATTGCTCACTCTCTCTCTCTCTTTCTCTCTCTCTCTGTCGCACTCTCTCTATATCTCTCACTCACTCTGCCCACAATTAGTTGTGCTCCATATATTTGCGAGTGCTCAATGCAATGATTTGCATTATTTTTTGGATTTTTTTTTGTTGTTTACTTATGTGTCCCGTGTTGCGACTTGAGATATTTTTTTCTTGAATTAACTTTTTGGTTGATTCATGACTTTTGGTTATTTTAGTTGGCATTTCCGGTTCGATTTAAGTGCGTTGCCTCGTCTTCCTTGGAAAGTGAAGAATGGAGGGCAGCTAATGCGATTGTGGATTTTACAGGGATTAACTGGTGCCAACGAGTCTCTCTTTCAAAATTGTTCAAATTAACTATAAATATTGAAAATGGAAGTGGGTATTTTCAGAATTTATTTCCATAAAATGTATGGATTCTCAGATGTAAAGAAAAAATGTCAGCAGATTGAAGAATGCAAAACAGCCACCTACAAAAAGTTGAAGCTTGATTCTGTCTGTAAATCATTTTAAAGTTTTAATATTTTGTATTGCTTATTGAAGCCCCAGACAATATTGTAATATAATTAATCAAGGCTTTTTGAGAGAATGAATTCCAACCAACTGAATTTTTGTATATTAAAAACGTCTCTTCAAACACAACAAAGACATATAGTATATATAATATAATTTAACTAACTACTTAATATGGAGAAATAATTAATTTTATATGAAATATTTCTAATCATATAGCATAATCTGTAAGTTTCAAAGTGTTGGTGATTCTGTCAACAAAAATGCAAGTTTGACAACCATTGACTGAAGTGAGTCAAACAAAACTATTGCATACCTTAAGGTTCAAAATTATAATATGAAAAGTTTCGCTAACTAACAATAGATGGCGGTACATCTACTCTCAAAGCTATGATTTTGGTCAGCAATATGAGCTTAAAATCACTAAATATTTAAGTTCTGATGAAGTGTACATCTTTTTAGTAATGGTACTAGTTAGTATTAAAGAAATTATGTATCGAGATCCCTCGGGGATTATTGACAAATATCTTTTACAAATAACTTATTCGTCTGACTTTTAAAAAAGTTCGAAAATAGCTTTCTCAAGAGAATCACTTATAAAAGTCATAAATATTTTATTACTCATGTTCGTTACCGCCTACAATTTAAATGAAGGTATTAAGATATTAGTTTTATATATTTATAGCAGACACTTTTCTCAATATAAGAGCTATTACAATGTTGTGGCATTTTGAAAGAATATTAAAAACATTTTTATTAACAACGTTGTGGCAAATTTTTAAATTGTATCCCTCCATCAATGCATCATCGCATCATCCTTTCTATAAATAGTCACTGGACATATACATAAATTATTGGAATTGCTTTATGGCCACAGTTGGCTAGAATAAAATACGGTTGCGCGCCTGCAGCGCATGTTCACTAATTATAATGACAAATCGGTCAATTATAATGTCATGTCATTAATATCTACGGGACGATCGATCATGCGAAAAGACTGGTGCATTGAATAAAACTGCTCATAAATGATGAAAAATGAATAAAAATGCAGTTAAGAAACACAGAGGCAATCAGGACACTTGTAACAGGAACAAATTACAAATGCAACATTGTTAAGAACTCAAGGCAAAATGCAGGTGAAGTTGAAGATGCAGCTGTAACTGAAACTGAAGCTGAAGCTGAAGTTTATCTGAGTTTAATAAAGCCAAGGAAAAGCTGTCAGAATGGCAATCCACGCGCCACGCCCACACACATTAAAAAGAGACTAAAAAGGACGTGCGGGCGTCGGTCAACCTGTCAACTTGTGGCAGCCACAAAACAATCGTGTACTTTTCAAATTTATGGTCGACACGCACTGCCGCACGCCCCAACACGCAGATCCCCACTAGATCTATACAAGATAGTTTACTATATTCCTGACCCGAGGCGAACGTGTTCGCTCAACGTTCATCATGCCACAGACACCTCAAAGGCACTGTTCTGTAAATAATTTTGTGCAGCCGAGAACCGTTTTGCCTGCCAAGCATCAGAAGTAGGAGGGCAACAGAGGCAGTAATTGCCACTTTTCGGATTATGCACTCAGAAAATAACAGGGAGTATAGCAGCTATTTTAAAACTTTATATAAAATTCAAATATATACGGTATTTGTATACAGATATATTTCAGTATTCCTCTAGTCGTAAACTGACTTTTATGCAGACTGAACAATTTAATGATTTTTAGCTGCTACTTTTGACTACAACAATTATTATGGCTGCATTGTTTTAACTAATCCTAGAAAAGCAAACATAATTATTTCGAATTTACACAAAATTATTAATAATTAAATTGTTACCTGCTCAAGAAAATTGAAAGCTAAACAACGTTTCATACTTGATTTAAATAAGAAACTCTCAAATTATTTTTGCAAGTGTAGCTGCAACAGTATGTTAATATAACCAGTTCCTTTTAATGTGTCCATCATTGAGAAATTATAAAGAATTATGATTTTAAAATTTTATTCTGGTCTATACAAATTTAAGCTTGATGGAAATGCGCTAATTATTTCTGCAAGTGTAGCTGCAACGGTATATAACTATAACCAGTTCCTTTCTAGATGTCCATCAGGCAGCTGACCGCAGAGGGCACGGCAACAACAACAACAACAACAACAACAGCAACAGCAACAACAGCATCTGCCACAGCATCAGCAGCACCATTTTAACTCCTCTGAGTTCTGCCTTCGTTTCAGTGTCTGGCCAGGCATTTTCGCATTAAGATCTGAATGCGGCACATTCTCTTTTGGCCAAGTTTATGGGCCCAGCAGTATTTTACACACACACTGGTTAATATTGCTGGAGCATTGGGTGCTTCTGATTGCTGGCCAACGATAAGATGACATACCAAAGCTGGTCTTCAGCTCCACTTGGGCCATACTTATTTATAAATAGCGCATCGGTTCGCTTGGCGCATGCAATCAGTGGTGGAAACTGTTGTGCTTTGTGGCAATACCCAATTCCCAATGCCCCAATACCCATTCCCCATTACCCATTCCCCAATCTCCATTCGGATGCAATAAAAACCAAATGACGACACGCAGACGCCAAATATGCTCCGACCGCAAGCAAGGTCGTTCCAGACGACCTTCAGATTGTATTTTTACAGTTTTAGCTGAGGAGGAGATCCTCTGCTGCCCTGCATTTATTACCAGCAACATCATAATGATAGTCAATATCATCATCATTACAGATCAGTTAACGAGCACATTTTAGTCGTGGCCCTTAATTGACTGACCAAATGCTTCTCTCTCTCTACGACAATGTCAATGCAACAAAAGTCTCGACTCAGATTCAGACTCCGACTCAGACAGACTTTTGTTCTCCTGTTTCCGCATTTCACTGTCTCCACAATCACATTTTTATTCTCATTCTCTTTCCCATTGTTGTTGTTTGTGCATCCCTTTGTGCCACTTGTTGATATCAATTAAAGTTTAATGATATTGTCGTGAGTGTCAGTTACCAGATGGGCCCCCTTGCTGGCATGTTTTTAATCAATTTTAAGTGGCTATTTACATTGGGTTACCAGTTTGCCAGCTTGCCTTTTTTCAGTTTTGCCCCTTTCATTTATTATTGCGACTAGTTTTCAGTTTAGTTCAGTTATTTTTTATTATTAATTTACTCGATTTGTCACTTTTTGTTGTTGTTGTATATATTCACATTACAAGTTCACTTAGTCTCTAATTAGGATAGGAATTTATGCATTTATGGTGCCTACGTGCTTTTGGGCCAAAAAGAAAAACAAACAAAAATATGGATTTAACTTGGCCAAGTTTGTTTGTATGAGTAAATTATGGCAAGTTGCTAGGTAAAAATTTTGCTGCTCATTTCAGTTAAGTTTATAATTTAAATTAGTTTATATATTAAATTACAATACCAACAACTACAATAAATTAATTAAAACATTAACTAAACATTAAAACAAATTCGTTTAAGCATACAAACACAGACACACGCATACACACACACAATACACACACACGCACACACACACACAGATTAGGATTAAAGTAGGATAGAAATAGTTTTGTGGCCGTGGGTGGACAATCTAACTATGAGTACTTAACTCAACTCAACTCTAAATGACATTAGCTGAAAACTAAAATTGCCTGTCAAATGTTAATCAACTGTTAAATAGGAGCTTGCGAAAGCTTCTACGAAAAGCTTAGAACTTTAATAATACTATGCAAGCAAATGAAAGCCGCTTGCCATCTTCCTGCGAGCTTTGTGGAAGCAAGTTGTTGCCTTCCGCTTGCCGATGACTAACTGCTGAAAGTTCATAAGTGTCAAAAGATATCAATTCAGGTTTTCAGCTCGACTAATTCCATAAGTCTTTCAGCATGTCAGCACAGGTTGTGCGATTAATTACGGGAAAACGATATCAGTTTAAGCTGACAGTTTCTCTGAAAGCACAAATCAAAAAAAAAAAAACGCTTCACTTGCTTTGAATATTTTTTTTGCCTTTTCATTTGCATTCTCGAATGATTAATCTCTTGGTGCAATGTCAGTTTTCAGCTGGTGTCATTTGTGAAGTTTTGCAAATGGAATGAAGGCTAGTTAATATTTAATTTAAGCTAGGCTAACTACAATACGACTTGGATCACATGTGTGTATGAAATAAATTGTTTGCCGCTGCAGCTGTGTGGCAAGCAGCTGGGGCAAGCTGCAGCTGGGCCAAGCTCTGTCTTGGGGCAGCTGGTGACTCTGCAACTGGGCAACTAGGCAACGGGGCAACTACTTGAGCTTCAGAAATGCCAACAACGCCTTTTGTATCAAACTGCGATCAATGGTCGAATCGGCTGTGTAACGCACTCCACTCAAATTGCCATCGTTGTGATCGACAACGCCATATTCGCCAACGATGAACCCGTCATCGGTTTTCTCCTCCACGCGATATTTGCGATAGTTGCGTCCCTCCACCACATAGGCGACCTTATCCTCCTCATCTGACTCATCAGCAGCAGCAGAAGCAGAAGCAGCAGTGGAGCCACCACGACCTGTAACAACAGCAGCAGCAGAGTCGTCTTCATCATCGTCATCATCATAGTCGTTGGCATTTGCTTTGCCGCTGTAAACCACCGAGCCACGTCCCCGGTCTATGCCACGATTACGACCACGTTGCATTGTTGTTGTTGTGGCTGTTGCAGTTGTTGTAGTCGCTGGACTGGCTGGCGTTGTTGCTGTGACCAATGCTGCTGCTGCACCAACACCCTGCTGCTGCTGCAGTCCATGGGCTCGTCCGTTTGTCATCACACTTACGGACTCTTCAATTTCGTAATTCTGCTCGGGGGTCGGTGTATATAGCTCGGCGCGTTCAGTTGTAAAGTGTGGCAATATGGCTGAGGAGGAGGCACCACCAACAGCAGTAGCCGCAGCAGCCGCAGCAGAGGACGAGGATGATGAGCTGCTCGAGCTGGAACTGTATGAATAGGCGCTATTGCCGGATGCTGTTGCTGGCGATCCATGATAATGATGTTGATGCTGTTGTTGTTGTTGTTGTTGCTGTTGCTGTTGTTGGTGGTGTGCAAATTTGGAAACACACTTGACTAGATCTATTACAAGAGAGAAGAGAGAACAGAAAGAGAGAGAGAGAGAGAGAAGTATTTGATAAGTTCAAGATTTTTTTAAGTTGAGAGTGCGTTGTCGTTGCTAGTTTTGTCTTCCAGTTGCAAGCTAAAAGTTGCTATACACTAAGAAAAAATCCCACTGAGATAATATAATATTTTGCTTTTAAATTTCTAGCAATATTTTCCGCTATTAAGAAATGAATTTAAAAAAGGAGAAGTGCAAAAAATCCTCTTTGGAACTTATTCATTCTAAAATTCAGGAACAAGTTATCAAATTGAATGGCTCAGCTTTTCTCAGCGATTTTTTTTCTTAAGTGCAGTTTTTTCTTGTAGTTACAAGCCTAAAGTTGCAGTTACTAGATTATAGTTTCATAACTTGAATGCAACTGAAATCTCTAGCTGAGAGTAGCCTATGATAAGTTTGGAGATTAGCCAAGTTAAGTGTATATTGTCTCGGCTTATTACACTGTGCTGCAGACCTAAATACAGACTTAAGCCAGCTTGCCCTTAATTCCACCCCAAAACCCAATTAAAATGAGCACAGACAGAAAGAGTCAAATAAAGAGAAAGCTCCGTTTGATTATCTCAGTATTAGTTAGCTTAGATCTGCCAGCAACAAGAAGCGAGTTAATTAAAGATAATGAAAGTTGAAAGTATATTTACCAACTATCTTTAATTACAGATTTAGAACTTAAGTCCAAGCCAAACTACATTGATTTGACAGCAAGCGAGAATCATATAATGAATTCAACTTTTCAGCAGTCTTAAAACTAAAGCTAAGTTTTATTTAATTACAGGCGAAAATCATTTGATTAGTAAATAAGTCTGAAGAAAGCATAAATTAATAAATTAAAGATAAAGAACATTAAAACTCCGCTCTGCTGTTATCTGTAATTAAAGATTTACAATTTAAGTCCAGCAATTTACAACTTAAGTCAGCTTTAATTAGATTAATATATAAAGATGATGAAATGCAAAACTGCAAGATATGCCAGCAACAAGAAGCAATTCATAACTCTCTCTGCTGATTTCTTTAATTAAAGTCTTACACTTTAAGTGCAAGCCAAACCGCATTGATTTGACAGCAGCGAGAAGCAAGTGATAAGTTCAAGATTAGTCTTTCCACTTTTTCAGCTAACTTTAAGCTAGAGTTAACTTGCCTTTAACTACAGATTCCCACTAATTGTGACAACAACCGAGAAGCATTTGATGAGTTCAAGTTTGGACTTGCAACTTTTCAGGCAACTTGTGGCTAGCGTTAAGTTGTCTTTAATTACAGATGCCAAGCGAGAAGCATTTGATAAATTCATGATGAGTGAAGTGTGCGCTGCCTCTTCTCTAACTAATTGCAGTGCACTGTGCCAGTCTGATAGATTGGGTTAAATTGCAGGGTCTGCAATTAGAGCTTCATAATTTGAGAGACGCCCACTTAAAGAGTGTTGTTTACCAAGGCGCAAAAGCCTATAACTTTGTAGTACAGTGTAATTTGTGTGTTGATTTTTCTTCTCTTGGTTGTTTTTTGTTTGGGCAAAGACTCACCTCGGTTGTTGGGCAATCCTTTGGCATTTTGATTAGAATGTTGAAGCGACAGTGATGAATGCTGCCGTTGCTGTTGTTGTTGCTCCCAACATGGACGATGATGTTGCTGCTGGTAGTCGCTTGGACTTGGACTCTTTGATAAAATTGGCTGCGGTGCATTCAATAAATCATAAGGTAATTTATCCAAATTGAAGAGTACGCGACGCTGTTGTTGTTGTTGCTGATGTTGATGTTGTTGTTGTTGCAAACGATGATTATGAGCGTTATGATAATGTTGCTGCCAAGTGCTTGGCCTGCTGGTTGTTACTGTTTGGCTTGCCATGGATCTGCTTGTTGTCTTTCCTGTTGTTGTTGTTGCTGTGGCCGCTGCTGCTGTTGTTGTTGCTGCTGTTGTTGTTGTTGTTGTTGTGGTTTGAGCCTCACCGAATGCAATCCGCGACACAATTGCTGGTCGACGCGAGGGCAAAAAGGTGCTTGGGGCAGAGCCCGGTGGCACAGTTGTTGCTGCTGTTGCTGCCGCTGCTGTTGTTGCTGCCACAATTGCGGCCGTTGTTGTTTTTATTGTTGTTGTTGTTGTTGTGGGTGAACTGGTCGTGCTGAGCGGACTGTGTCCAAAACCAGTGCCAGTTGGCCAGTAGGTCTTTGCTGGCTCACCATAAACCTTAGCGGGCTGCGAATAAACTTTCGCTGGCTCCGAATAAAATTTCGAGGGTTGCCCATACACTTTCGATGGCTCCGAATACACTTTCTCCACCTGGCCATACATTTTTGCTGGCTCGGAGTAGACCTTCGCCGGCTCCGAATAGTATTTCGAGGGCACACTGTACATTTTCGATGGTATCGAATAGAATTTTGATGGCTCCGACGCAATTCGAGCCATGGGCTTTAAACTATCACTGACATTGCGTTGTGCCTCGGCGAGGATGTCATCCGCAGATGATGGATGCCAATCATCCACATTCTGTGATATGGAACTGTAGGATATTGATCTTGACTGGGGGCCATGGCCGGACTTGGTGTCGTGATAGATGACCGTTTGGAATGGCAGCAATTTGTCATCGCTCTCATGAGTGTCGTTCGCAGTTGGCGATGACGTTGTCGCTGTTGCTGCTCCGCCAGCGCCGCTAGCTCGTCGAGGCGCCACCGAGCTGGAACGACTGGAGGCAGCTGCGGCGAGCAGTGGCGCCGCCAATACATTTTGTATATTCGAGGCACTATTCACGGAATCACCGTCCACATCCATTGTATCGGCAGCGAGGCGTGGCTCCGTCTCCTCAATGGAGAGTTCACTTTTGTGCGAACGATTGACGAAATCTCGGCCAGCTGCACTGGGTGCACTGCTTCGGTGAGCTATGCTCTTAAAAGCCGGTGCCTGGGTGCGACTAATGCGATTGCCACGCCGACTGGATGAACTGACGCTAACTGCCACAACCTTGACCTCATCGCTGCTGGCCTTGGGCTTTGTGGCCGATCTGGGTGCATCCTCGAGAAAGACAATTTTGCTGCCCGTTGTGACCAGCTTGACCACCTGTTTGCCCTCCTCCGCATCCATCTGCAGTTGTCCGTTCGCATTGCGATAACGGGTCTTGTGCTCCAGACTGCGTGCCCGACCGGAACCGGGTCGAACCAGATCGTATTCCTCATCGCTGTGCAGGCTGCGCTGTTGTTCGTCATGGTCCAGAAACAGTTTGAGAAACTCATTGCCCGCAATGAGCTCACTCTGTCGAGCGGGAGCGGGTGCTGGGGCAGGAACAGGGGCTGGCCGCGTAAAGTTGCAGCACAACATCTGAAATGTACAGAATGAAAATGATTAAGCTTGTGTTCGTGTCAAATGCCTGGCAAATATTATCCCTCAATGCGATTTTTATGCAAATGTAGCAAATGATGCATTTACAATATAAGCACACTCAGCGAAAACGCTGTTCTAAATTTAAGTGCAAGCAGAATGCAATTGATGTCACGAATTGACAAAAGCACCTATTTGATATAATCAAATAAATAATTATCTTATTGCAAGAGATTTATTTCGTACCCCGATCTCACAATCAGTTTTTTTCTGGATTTTGAAAACTTCTTAGTTTTCTGATGTAGGATTTTCCATCAAGTCAAATCTTAACTTATCCCGGAACAAACCTATATTCGTTTGCACTTAATCGACTATATAATTTCTCTGAGTGTACAGCTTATCGGCGCGCATATCTATTTTAATGAATTTGCGTAATTGAATCATTATTCGTTTTCGCAGCAATATCTTCATGGCAATTCTCGATATGCATAAGTCATGCTCGGCAGTTAACTAAATGACATTTGAATAATATTGTATTGGGTCTATTAAGACATCGTTGGAATGCAGCGGCTGCTTTTGAAGTGAGGCTTGTGCCTCTTGTGGAGTGTGTTGCATGTTTCGAACCTTGTCAGTGTCATAATTAACTGACAAATGCTGCTATGTTGAAGTGGGTGCTAAGTGGCAGATAATGCTGCTGAATACATTAAACTCCATGTTTATTTAAATTATGAAAAATATCTGTATCTTAAAGTTCTCTTGTAGCTCTTAAGTATATTATTGCATAACATATTTAATTAATGCCCTCATTCCGACATTATCAGAAAAAACTCACTTTCTTTCTTAAAAAGCTCTTAAATTAATTCATTCGCTAAATGCATTAAAAGTAGAGTTAATTACAAAAGAAGCCTGACTCATCTTCAGAGTCTGACTAAAAATAGACTTTCATTCCGCAAAATGATGACAACGTGAAACTGGTTGCTAAGGATACAGAATAAAGTTGTGTCAGATATGCAAAGCGAAAGTTATTAGCTCATAATTATTCAATTTCTGAGCAAATTTAACAATCTAGCATTGACCTTCCCTATTCAATGTGTTTTCAATGTGTGCTAGGCATAAATCAAATCAATGCTAAGCAAAAGTAACGCCCCTCTTTAACTCGAAACGCCTCGAAAAAAAATAAACAAAAGACTTAGGACACGAACTTGCCCTGCACAGATTGGCACACAAAAAAAACAACACAAAAACAATATATTTATTGCATTTTGCAAAATCAGCATTACTAATTGTAATCGAGATAAACCACATAAAACACTTCTATGGCTAATAAAAATAAAAAGCCAAAGCGAATGGAAAGGCGTAAATTGAAATTGAAAATAGCAGTAAAAAAAACCATAAACAATTTCGATATACATATATATATATATATATATATATATATATTATACATATATTTTTTTTCTGCATGCAGATCAATTTATAATATAATAACATAATTATATATAAAAAAAATGGTATATGTATATAAAATAAATAGGCGACAGCAGCAACAACAACATCCGGCAGCTTTTCGAGCATAAATGCAAACAGCTTGACAGCGCAGCGATGTGCAACAACAACTAAAACAACAATTGGAGTTGAGTGGGCGCCGATTGCTTGGCGACTGTCGCCTGTCGCTATTTTTGTTGTTATTGTTTTAAGCTTTAACATTTGTAGATCATATTTAAGCGATTCAATCTAACAATTGTTGGCAGCAACAAAAACACCTTCGCACATATGCTAAAATTACAGAGTAAGGCGCAGGCACAGGCGCAAGCAGCAAAATGGGCGACTGGCCAGTTAGTCAGTTAGCCACTTACTTATAGCCAAGTTAACAGTCGGCGTGGCGTGGTTAGTCACCAGTGAGCCGGCTCGCCTTGCCTTTTATGTCTAAAATTGCAGAAGTAACAGCCCAGCTGAGCATTTAACATTGACACACAAATCGCCAACCAAGTTAATAACAATGCGACCACGCTTAGAACAATGCACCCAGAAGGGCTATCAAAAAAATACTATGTATAAGTATAATGTCACATATATTTGGTTACCCCCCTGCTGTGATATGTACGTTCTAAAAAAAAGAATGCTAGAAAGACAACTTGTTGTTGTTGCGACATTCCTTTCCATTGTGGCAAGTTACTTGAACCGAGTGGTCAGTGCCACCACCTTTGCCGCGTTCTTTAATGAATGAAAAACTGCGTTTGGCAGCCAAAAATAGACGGAGCAATTATTAAGGCTTAATCTTGATTGATTTATCAGCGCTGTGAATGCTAATCCTGTTAGACATTCTTTTGCACTTAGCTGGCAAACGTTCACAGTTTATCGTTTATCGCTCGCCCCTTTTTTATTATCATTCATTTATCATTCGATTGTTTGCGCCTTTCACAACAGCGTTGACAATTTTCACGGCTGTCAACTTAGCGGAAGTGTCAAGTACACTTCTTTTCTTTTCTAAATACATTTATTTTATGTATTTTTTTTTTGCGCGACTAATCAAAATGAGCGCTCAAATTGGCCTTTTGAAATTCTAAACGTTTTGAGCAAATTCAGCTGCTGCTGCTGGCGGGTGGAACTCATTGAGATATATCCGCCTTAGCGAAATCAAAAGACCTGTTGTTGTTATCCATCGAACAATTAAGCAATAATCACGCCTTAATGAACGCTCTCAGTGTACTCCAGTCCAGCTCAATTGCCTTTCAAGTGCCGCTTCAGAAACTTCAAATTTAATTAGCAACGAGCATCCACAAATGAAAACAAGTATGAGTGATCTAATCGGGCGAGTGTTCGAATTGAAGTTACCCTATAACCAAGTCATTGATTTTTCAATTTATATAAAAAAAACATGAGTGAACGATAATATAATAAAAATTGTGGATTTTACTATAATTTAATATTTAAATGGTACATCAATATTTGCCGTTAGGTAAAACGGTAGATTCATATTGCAAGGTTATATTATTAATATTGTGGCATTGATAGCAACAAATGATCCATTGATACTGAGGGATTATTTCTTTATTATCGATATTTGGCTAAAGGAAGAAGTTAAAGAATAAAATGAAGTTACCTTCTGAAAATGATAGCTTTTATTTAAAGTCCCCAATTATTACAATTTTTGAGTTCGGCTTGTGCATATTTTTTTTATTTATTTATCTTTGTGTTCGTCTCGTTTCTGTTAATTTTGATCAAGAACATACGTAAATCACATCAGTTTAGGGCTAATTTCATCCGCCTGGTACATTGATTTACACAACTTCAGCCTAACCTAAGCTTACCCTTTATTTTAAGTGGCTACAGGGTATACAAATGTGAACGAGTTCTCTTATGTGCTCTGGAATTTTATTATGCTGCTCCCCTTTATCTGCTTCGTCTTCTTCTTATTTATGTTATTTGATTTTATTCAAATTCAATTGCGTTTCGCTTTCAATTTCAATTTGCGTTAAGTTTTTGTTGCACACTAAAAAGTTGAGCTAATCAATTAGGCGTCTCCTCATGATTGATGTGACCAAAAACAAAACACGGGATTCGATTGCATAAAACCAAATGACTCAAGACACGAACTGGCCACACACAGACCGTTTAGTGATTTGCATAGAAACGCGGAAAAAGTTGCCAGTCTATAATAATGCACAAGTTTCTTTTTATCAAATTCGTCTGGTCAACGAAAACAAAAACAAAAACAAGAATTGGCCTGCCCGAATATTTGTTGAGTGAGTTTGTGAGGCTGTGTAATGGTTGTAACTATTGTGGCCCACAGCATTTGTTGTGGGCGTTCCAGCGTTGAAAGGAGCAGCAGCAGCAGCAGCAGCAGCAGCAACAGTTGCAGTAGCAACAGCAACTGTTGTTGCCCCAATGTGAATGTGTCAGCCAAGTTTTGTGTTGCCAAGGGGCCATTGTTTAATTGCAGCCACCACCCGCTGCCTTCTCAGCTGTGCTTTGCTTTATGTTGCAATTGCCAATCCGCAACTTGCAACCCGGCACTTGCAACTGGCATCACAAATGGCTGCCATATGACTTGTCATTATCAAAAGCATCGATCTATGGCCCCCTCCCCTCCTCCCTTCCCACTACATTATAGGGCGCTCAATGCCACCAATTGCACTTATAATTTCAGTATCAGTCTCCCTCTCGCCCTCTCTCCCTCTGTAATAATAACACACATTTATTAATTACACACCATTCAAAGAACAACAACAACTTAAAACACTCCTCACTGCTACACTATTCCATATTTTATTATACTCTCTCAGAGGTATTCTTATTTGAATCATTAAACATGTAACCCATTGAAAAATACTTTTATTTTATTTATTAACAAATTATGACTTGGCATTAACTAACCTGGGCCTTCGACTCGAGATAATTATATTATTCGATTTTCAAATTAAAGTTAATTATAAATTAATGAAGAGCGATAATACTATGGACATAGTTTTCGTATAGCAGGGAGGAAAGAGACTTTAATATTTTAGACATTATATTTATATTTATATTTAATTTACTTTAAGCTTAAAAACATTTCCTGATTGAGTCTAATAGCCAAATTCCACTATAAACTTTTATTACATTCTTGTATGCAAAATAGAAATGATATTCTTTATATTATTTAAATTAGTTTCTTGTTTATTGCGTTATTTGCATAAGTGTCGTTATAGCCTGCGTTATATTTTTACTGGTTATTTTATTATACATTTCGCAAGACAAATCAAAATAATCCAATCAGCAGCTTTATTTGAAACGTTAACGACAATTCAGGCCCATAATGGAATCGCGAAATGTTAGGAATGTGAATGTGAATGTGAGGCATAGTATTGGGCATAATGGAATCGGACTATTAGAATGGACCGGATACAAAAACGATTTCTTTTTAGCAATTTAACCAAAAGCCGAAAAATGTCGGAAGCACCGAAATATGAATAACACATAAAATAGAGCTCGTTTTTGTTTGTATTTACAAATCGTAAATTTTCGAAAAATTCTCAAATTCATTAAATTTTTGTTTAATTATTCACTTTGAATTTTATTTCAAATTAAATAAAAAAATTAAGAGAAAAACATTCAAATCTTAATATTATATGTGTATATATTGCAATTGCAGTTATAATGTTATATGTAGGGGTATTATAATATATATTTATAATATACATATATGTAAGGGTATTAGATGTTCGTGAGCTTGTCAATAGATGTTCTTGCTAGTTTCTGTTGTAGTTCTGGTAATCGTCATATGCATACCAGTCCAGATATGTGTACTACATACAGACACACACTCATTAAATTTGAAAGAAAAGCTGACGTTGACTTTAGAATGTTGCTGCACCACGCGATGTACCCCCCCCCCCCCTCGCCTTCTCCACCCTTTGCAGCCGCCCGTCCTCAATCAAAGTCCCGCCCGCTGCGCATAATTTGCAAATTGCAAGCGTCATCGACGGCGACTGCCGTTTCTCAGTTTCTCAGTTTTTCAGTTTTTTTCAGTTTCTTTTCTCAGTTTTGAGTTTTTTATTTAGTTTTTCATTTAAAGTTTTCAGTTTCGCATAACCGCTCGCAAATCGCGTGCAATTATTTAACGTGGCTTTTGCGGCTGTTAAGTTGGTTTTAGCCAACTTTATTTCGGTTTACCTTCATCATAGTCAGCTGGCGCTTTTGTGTCAATTACTGTTGCTAGCGCTTATTGCCAGTATCCAGTCCAATGCAGTCTCAACAAAACATTAGCATTAACCAACTGGGCACAAATTAATAATAAAAAAAGAGAAAAATGCACTCGCCAGCATTGTGGATGATGATGATGATTTGGGCCAATAAACACACACACTCAAACAAACACAGGCAATAAGCCGACACCATTACCCCCCATAGCAATTAATCCATTTATTTCACATATTGGCCAAGTGAACGATTGAACGGATTGAACGGATTGAACGGATTGAGCATGGCATAGTTGCAACTACAACTTTAAATTTAACTGCAATTTTATGAGCTGGCTTAATGGCCATTGCAAAGGGGACTGTGTGTTAGTCACGTTAACTCAAGGGTTGGCCAATACCAATCGATTTGTTGGGCTTTACTAACTATATATATGCATACACATATGTTATATATATATATGTATGTGCTCCCGCATAAACAGAAATTCCCATGCGTAATAAATCATTCCGCAAAGTCAGACAACTCGCATAACATCATCCATCTATCTAAAGTTCAATGCCGACAATTCAAATATGAAGCCAACAAAAACGAGTTGAATTGCTAACAATTCTGCACATTTATATACCATATATACTATATATGCTTAGGCGCTGTTAGCATCTGACAAATTAAGGATGTACAGTAATTAATTATAGAAGAATTGTAGAAATCGGAGCGCCAGTTATTTGATAGTTGAAATGTGAAATACATTTTTGGCACAGACTGTGAAAAATTTGATATAAGCTGTCAAATTAGTTGAATTGATTGCCAGGGCAAATATTCCAAATTATGTTTACTAATTTATTGATTGAGAAGCCAAATTAGTTGGAATAAATCTCAGGGTACATTTTTGAAATTATCTTTATTAGTTTATTGATTGAAAGGCCAAATTAGTTGAAATCATTTTCAAAGAAAATATGTAAATTTTTCTTTATAAGCTTATAAGTCAATCAGCAATGTTTATGTCTTTAATTGAAGTTTTTGCTTGTCATTAACATAAGAATAAAACACGTAGGCAGGCAATAGTCGAGATCGATCGATAACTTTTAAATACTTAGCAATTTTGCTGATCTCAGTTTTTCATATGAAAATAGGCTTTAATCTAACAAAATCTGTGTTTCTCTTCCAAATTTAACAATCAACAATATATATAAATTGGAAGGCTATATCATTAGTTTTTTTTAATTGCTATCGGAAATTGATTGTATAAATATTTGCATAATGGAGTTATGTTATTAGTTATCAATAAGAAGAAAATAACTTAGTCTGGATTAAGTTTTCAAGTACTTATATTCAAAATTTTTAGTCTTTAGCTCTTATAGACTCTGGGATCGAGTAGTCCATAAAGGCAGACAGACGGATATGGCCAAATAGACTCAACTTTTGATGCTGATCACTTTATGCTTCCTCCTGTTTGCAAAAAAAATGTTTGCACAACTTTATTATACCCATTTTTAATGGGTTCAGGGTATAATTAAAAGTTTCTGCATAAATCAGCATGAGAATAAGCTTTAAGTCCACTGAAAATGCAAATGAGTAATTGCGTGTTTTGACTTGTATTATGCTTAGCACAATTTCGCATGTTGCCAAACAGCCTCAAAATGATGCATACGATTTGCTACTGCGTGATTTGAACTTGTGACCTTTTGTTTTTGAGTGGCAATTTGACTGTCAGATTTTGATTGAAGTTCTTGAATAAACTGAATTTAATGTGCATCTATTCAACCTATTCAACTCCTTATTAAAATACAGATATTTCTATAGTTTAAGTAAACTTACCAACAGCAAAAATACCAATTTGTGATACCAGCAAAAGTGTGCCATGCCGTTCTTAATTCTGTTCAGGATTATCATCCACCTTGACAAAAGCTCCACTTTATTTTTCAGCAATTTTCAATAAGTGCTTTCGATTTGTGAGTCTTGTTCCTTCCAACTTCGACTTCTGAATGAAGCTCACTTTCTTTGCGTCAAGTGAAGTGATTCATTTGGCCCCTGATCTTATCTGCAGTTGAATCATGCTGAAAGTGCCACAAATACTCCAGGGTCACTTCTTAGTCTCTGCCTCTTTGTTCCTCTGTTTTCAGTGATGTGCTTCAGTTTTGGTTCGGTGTGACTTTTTTATCTCTGCAATTAAAAAAAACAGAAGCCAGCAATTAAGCAGTGTGTTCATCCCAAAAGAAAGATAAATATGCGGCGCTCAAAAGTCAAAGAGGGACTTTGGAGTGCTCGATATGGAGATACTCTGTAGCTAGATCAAAGATTATATATTTTATATATATGTATTGGAGAGCTGAACCCGACTACTGTGTGCAGTTTGACGATTTTCTCTGGGAAAACCAATCAAGCTCAATGAAAGCTTGAGGCAATTTTCACACTAGTTTTCGATGGAATTTTGGAAAATTGGATACACAAGCTCATAAAATCAGCTTCAGTCATTGAAAATGTTTAGTTATGTAAACTGTTCAGTTGTACAACCTTCAATAATCTCTCTGCAATTAAATTTTATGCAAAAAATTCACTCCGGAAGGAAAATGGGAAGTCAAAAGTTTAATTAAATATACGCGACTGGTGGGAAACACTTTTTAATAACACTTGTAAAGATCGACATCTGCACATTTTGTATTCAGACGGACATCGAGAAACAATAATAAATCATTTATGTATTTTTTTAAGCTTTATAGTATCGCCTCCAACACATTTTCAACTTTATTTGCACAATTTTATGACATCCGTTTTACACGTTTAACTCTTTACACAGAGTATAAAAAAGTCAAGAGTATATAAATTGAGAGACCAGCCATAAATCGAGTGAATAATCGCTGGGGCACAAGAACATTAAAATATTTGTTAGGTGTCTTTTGTTATGTTTGTTGACTGCATAAATGATGCATCGTTTACAAAAGCTATTGGCTGGCATTAGCCAGGCCAAAACAAATGTATTGCGATCGGTAAAAATATGGTAAAAGACGCAGAAGAAGAAGACGAAGACGATACACTCAAATGTCAAGGTGCATTTCACACTCGAAACGAGGCATGCCAAAAAGTACAAAAAAAATATATATATAAATAAAAATACAGACATATAGAAATAAAAATATTTGAGCATTTGCAGCTAATTTTATTTCAATAGTTGCGATTTGAGTCACGGATTGGCAGTAGAATCATTGAACTTGTCTGGCGAAGTGCTGTGGTATTCAATGGGTAGAGGAGGGTGGTAACAAGTCGCAACAAGTTGCAGCAGCAAGCCCAATAATACCTGGCCAAGATGCTAAGTTATTTCCAGCGATTTCAACACATTTATAATTAATGACAAATATTTTTGATAGCCACAACAATTGGCATGTCATTGAAGCTGGCTTGCCAGCGCTTGTTGTGTATGGTATGTGTATTGTCTGTTTTGTGGCCCAAAGTCTTCAGCTAGAGGCGCACATTAGCCTTTAGCATGATTTTATAGCACCCTTTATGCAAAGAGTTTTAATTTAATTAGAGCCTCTAAGTAATTAGCAGGCATTTCCGCCAAGCCAAATGTGTAATTAAGCCTTAAAATCACCAACATCTAAACTAACAAAATCTACTAAAAAGCGTTATTGTTGGTTAAACATTTTAGCCAGCTCCGCAAAACCAGTTCTAATTCTTATCAAGACTTCTTCACAGGCCATATAATTACTCAGAGTCGCAGAGCGTTCAATGGCTTTTAATTATCCAGGAATTTGTCTATGTGTGTGTGTGTGTGTGCTGACTGCTAAACAAAACAAAATAAAGCAAAACAATGCACAGTTTGTGTTTATGGCCACCAAAATTCAGCTCATTAAAAATGAAAGTTTCTTGACCAAAAAAAAAAAAAACAAACAAACAGCGCCAAGCTTGGCTCATTAATTAACCAAGAGAGAACCACAAAACTAATAGTTATGTAAATTCTTTTGCAGAAAAAAAGACTGGAGAATTCTATACGAGTACAAAACTCGAACAAAACTCATATATCTTGAATGTTATTCGTAGAAATTCCAGCTCGCTTTAGCTTAGGGTTTTTCGCTGAGTGTACTCGTCGTGTCTTTCAGCTGATACTTCTAGTTTTTCTTGGCTTCTCTTGTCGGGCAGCTTCTGACGCATTTCTTCTTAATTTTTTATATTTTTGTTGTTATCTTTGACAGCTAGACAAACTACTTTTTTTTAGTTGCTGCTGCCGATTCTGACTTATGTAACTGATACTCAGTTTAGTAAAGAAAAGTAAAAGTGCCTAACATATCTCGAATGTAAAGGTCGTTGTTATCTAGAAACCAGCAAACTCAGACCTGTATGTGTATGTGTGTGTGTGTGTGTTTGTGTGTGTGTTTGGGTGTGTGTTTGTGTGTGTGTGTATGTATTATCTACACTTACTAAACTGGCCAGTTCGGTTTCGAAAAGCTGCACCCATATCAAAGACCCACAAACGGAACCAGCAATAGTCAGCCAAGTCAGCTGTAAACGTTACTTGAGTTGTGGCCAAAAAATAAAAAAAAATTGTATGCAATAAGTGCCTTGCAATAAACTTAAATTCAACTCAATTGAACTTTAAGTAAATATATTGAATTGGTATGGAAAAGTTGAGAATTCTAGAATTATTTAAGTTTACAGAAAATGTGTATTTCTTGTAAAACACAGCTAAAGCTGAGGCTGACATTTTTTTAATTTTAAGCAAAGAAGGCTTTGCCATATACTTAAATTCAACTCAAGTGAACCTTAAAAAATATTATGAATTTGTATGAAAAAGTAGAGAATTCCAGATTTATTTAAGTTCACAAAAATTGTGTATTTATTATAACTGAATGAATAAATGAATGGTGATTAGATGACAAATCAAAATTGTGTGTAAAACTCACACTGCTAATTTGAATTTTAGCAAAAATTCCAAATTAATGGTATTCAAAAACTGCTTTAACATGTCACATTTTTATACCTAATCTGACAGCGTTAACGATTAAAAAATAACTTAAAGTATTATAAGCTTTAGAGAGAAAGAAGAAGCTGTGGGAATGTGGGGGATATAGGAAGAATTTAATATTTTCTGAATTCTTTGCCACTTTTTATTGACAAAGACTGATCAACTGACCCAATTCCATATTATCCGCTTCAACTCAAGCAGCCAGATTAATCTAATCCTAAACTAAGAAAAAACAATCAATCCGATATGAGAATGTTGTGGGAGTGGACAATTTGTGAAGTTCATTTATTATTTGAAATATTTTATTGGCAGTGTGTGTAAAAAAAGATATATATGTCTATGTCAACTGGGCAATGGCACTTGAAGTTGGTGTTGGATTTGGTCTTGCTCTTGATATTGGACTTGGCAGTTGCAATTGCAAATGCAATTGCAGTTGAAGTTGGTTAGTTGGCCCGTTTACTTGACTCGTGAATGCCCATTGGCGTCAAAATTCGCACAGTTAATATATAAATTAGAATGCTAATCGATATGGTTACGCCCAGAAAAAAAAGTGGACGATAGACAATCGATATGAGCTTGTATGTGGGTACAATAGAATGCTGGCTAACTGAATTCCGGTTAATAAACTTGATTTAAAACCAGAAGTGAGCTGACAAGCTGTGCGAAATAAATTGCTACTAAGTATGACTCTATAAAATACATAAATAAAGTGTGTAACAAATGGGTCGCCAAGACGTGGAATCAACTCCGTGCGTGTGTGTGAGTTGAGTACCACGACTACTATTTCTTTGGTGACAAATTGTCGAAACATGCTCTCGAAACAATGGACAAAATCACACGCGACGAAGCGGCAGCCACCACAACAACAGCAACATTAAATAACAACAATAAATACCAATTGCAATTCATTGACAATTGACGCAAGCCAGTTGAGGGACGGGCAAGGCTCAAAGCCAAGCCAAAACCAGCCAAATCAAGCCAAGGGAGAGGCCAACGCGGCGTATGCGCTTTTTTATATATGTATAGACATATATATACATATATATTTTTTTTTTTTTTGTCAGCCAAGCAGACTGCCAAATAATAATCACAGAAGCACGAGCAAAAGTATAGCAAAGTTAAACAAACGACCGCGACCATTAAATTGTTTTTATTTCCATGGAATTTCTTAAGAGTTTATTGCACTTTTGCATATACCCTGTAACTAATTGAAAATGTCCTAATCAGTGTATAATCAAGCTGAGCAATACATTTTTTTGCTGAGTTATATTTATTTCACATCTTTTTATTCAATTATCGTCTCATTATTTTCAGAAGCCTTTTGTAGTCAGTTGCTAAGTGTGTTATGAATATCGGATATGGTAAACGATTTCTATCAATTTTATAATGACTAGAATATTTTTGGATACTTTCCCATTCTAGGATTATCTTTTAATTTGCTTTAATTTATTTGAGTGTTGGCCCTTTCTTTCCTGATAATAAGAACAAATTCTTTTGATTGTTGAATTTTTTTAATTATCAATCATTTGACATATTTTAGAGAAAATATTTCTGAATATAGAAAACATTCCGTTAAATTCTTATGTAATTTTAATTTTTAAAAAATCGTCTGGCTTTTAAAATAGCAATTTTTGGATTGCCGAAACCATTTTCTTCAATTTCATGTTACACTTATTGATCTTTTTTCCTTTTCAAAGCTAAATATTTTCCTAAATTGTTACGTATTTTTCATTTTAAATAACTTCTTGAAATTTTATGAGACACTTTCTTGAACAGCTTTCAGTCTACTTTAAGCCAAATGTACGATTTCAATCTCATTTTTGTACATCTTTAATTTATATCTAGGGACATCTTTTAGTCGCTCAATCTCGTCGGACCGGCGCCAATTCAACTAGTGTTTTATGATTATAATTATTGTCCTAAACGGGTATATGCAAGAATAGCTCGCAGCTAAAAGCAAATAGTGCAACAGGTTTTGTTGTTGTTTGTTGTTTGTTGCTGCTGCGGTTGGTGCAAAGCTGCACAAACAATTTGTTAATTTCGCTGAGCGGCGTTAATTGTTTTGGCCAAAGCGCTCTTTGCTGGTGTTTACCATAGCTCTGGGCCGTAGTCTGACGACTGCACCGCAATTAAGCTTTTAATAATCATTTGTATTAAAATCGTTGAGCGCGTTTGGCAATGGGTCCGACTGACTAACTAACTACAAAGTTAGTCTCACTGCCGTTTTGCAACTTGGCATAGAATGTGCGGCAAGAAAAAAAAGCTACAAATTACTGAAATTTATGGTATATTTATTTATTTGCTTTTTGCAATTGCTGGGCTCTCAATCAACAGCTGAAATATTAGAAAGTGCAATGATTTTGTTAAGTATAGTAAAATATTTTCGTACTTGCTTTTAACTTATTTTTCTCAAAAAGTTTCATAAAAATAATAAATTAAATGTACTCTAAATATGCCATTTTGAATGCCAAATATTTTTGTACTTGCTTTCGTTTGTTCTTGTTTTCAACGCATATATTTCATAAGAAAAATCGAATATAAATTTACAATAAATATAGCAATATATAAATATTTTCAAACTGGTTTTCGTTGGTTATTTTTTATATAAAATGCGACCTTTCCTAGAACTAATTTCATAAAAATATTAATAAATACGATTTACTCTAAACCGACCTTTTTAAATATACACACAAATAGTTGGAAGCAAGTCAATAGTCAAGTCAAATTGATTTAAAAAACCCTTTTCGACCAATTACACTTAGCCATTAATTATGATCAGAAAAGATGGTAATAGATTTTTTGGGGCGTTCAAATAAACCACAAAGGAAAAAAAATACAAAATTAAATAACATGCAGCTGCAAGAAATTACAAATTACTAAATTATAGTACCATGTCGCTCAATTTGACAAGCCCTAACGTAACATCAACTTTAACTTATTTGTCCATCAAAAGGGGGGCGCAACAAACGGGGCGGACATTGCTGCAATCCACCAGGCGATGATAAGCATCTGCTCAATCAAAATTGATCTACACGCCTGTCAATCAAACAGAAGTAGGAGACAAAAGAGTTCCGAAAAACAACAACTGCCAATAGAAAAACAAAAACAAAAACAAAAATCTACTTTTCAATCGACCAATTCGATATCGATGGCTAATGCATGCTACAAAGGCTAACTGTAAAGCTACACACACACACACACACACACACACACACTTTCATCGTTGACCTTGACGCAAATCGCTGGCCATTTTTTATTTTGGATTGCCTTGTTTTTCTGCACCTTTTTGGCCGACATATTTTCAGATCACCGTTGCAGTCGCTTTTGGCTTAAACTACGGCTTAGTCGGTTTACGTTTGGGCCGTGCAGATTTAACTTAACACAATTGAAGACAAATCCACTCTATAGCCGTCAAAATGTAAGAGAGCCACAAAAAATCAACGTTAAGCAAGTCAAAAAATCTGGCGAAAAAACGTTGAGCCAAAAAAAAATGCTAAGCATAAAAAAACGCGTTTGCGCTTAAAAAAAACGTTTTGGCCAATTTGAGCCGACTTTTTTCTTTTATTTTTGGGTTTTCATGTATTAACCGTTACTTTTTTTTTTGCCCGCTGAGCTTACCAATGCACCCACCACATTTGTTGTTTTTCTCGCTGCTGTTGATATTTTTTGTAGCTCGATTTTTAATCCCGTGTTGTAGTTGTTTTTGATTTTTTTTTTTGGCTTTCTATATTGCGAGCTGTTTGTTATTGTTCTTGTTATTGTTGCTCTTGCTTTTGCTGTTGTTACTCAGTGCATTTGTTGCTAAGTCGTTTTAAATTGGAGCAATATTGGCGCGCGCCTATTTCTTTTTATGACGATATATTTATGGCCTTTTTTTAAATTTAAAATTAATTTTTTTTTACCAGTTTTGCAAATTGTTTGTTGTTACTTATGCTTTGACGTGTTTATTTCACTTAGCCGCACTCACATACATACACACATATACACAGACACACACACACTCTGAAAACTATATATTTAACTGACTTTGTCGAAATGATTGCAGTGATTTTGTTTGTAATTCTTTTTTTTTATTAATTCCCCTCGGGTTGCACGTTGCGTATACTGAATTTATGCGTAAAATTACTTCTTTTAGTACGGTCCTTAAATATGTTTTCAGCTGTGTTGTTTTGTTGTGGCCTAAAAAATGTTGGCCAGTGCCTGACAAATGACTTTCACGCGCGCCAACAACAATTACAAAAATTTATTGTTCGAGTTGCGAATTTCAATTATATATTTATCACTATATAAATATATATATATTTATAGTATTATAATTTTTTTAAATTAATTTTTTTTGCAGGTTGTGCCGTGCGTCCGTTTGGCTACAGCGTCCACAATTAACTGAATTCCCACAGCGATCAGAAAACTGATAAGTGCTTAGCTGGCTGGCTGGCTGGCTAGCGCCCAAGAAGGCTGGCTAAAAGCTCAGTAAGCCAGAGACAGAGAAACAGAGCCAGAAACAGAAACAGAGCCAGTCGCAGCCAGCGCCAAGTGCCAAGGCAACAACAACAGCAAACACCAACAACATCAGCGCACAAGAAAGGCAAAAGCACAAGTACACATACACATATAGGCACACACACACACACAGACACACTCACAGCGACAGGCAGGCAGGCAGGCAGCGCACAGTGGGCTCAGAGATCGCTTACACCCATAAATCAATCATATTTAAACTCCAAATTATTCTTTTAATATTATATAAGTTTAGTTTTTATGGCTGCTGATTCAAGTTGTGTCTCTTTTTAATATTTTCCGAATGTATTCAGTTTGCAATCAAGAAATTGTAAATTGTATATATAATACTAGGGCATTGCCAGCTAACTTAATTCTTTTAGCTTCTCAAAAAACCGTTTATTATGTTGTACATTTTTTATTTACTTTTATTACTTAATAATTTTTTGCTACGGTGGTTACTCACTTACATATTATAACCAACTCAAATGAATTCTGCCACAATTAACACAGTAAAATAAATGATAATTTTAAAATGTTTTCATGAAATACATTGAAACCGTGTGCCACTGTGCAAGGTGCTCATTTTATTTGTTTAGATTTGATGGCGTAGAACAGCAAGCAGCGAGCAGCGCAGCGCGGAGCTTAGCAGAGACAGCTTTTACGGACCAGCATCACAGTCACCCCACAAAACTCGAGATCATGAAAGAACGAGCAGTACACGTTCGTTCCACTGTCAAAAAGGCGAGCTTCGTGTCAGCTTCGTGATCGGACCAGCGATCGACCATCGGTCAACGGGCCGAACATGTGAGTGATATGAACTGCAACAGCAAGCTCGTAAACATTGATGTTAACTTGCTAACATAGCAATGTTATGATAAGCTTACATTGCGCGAGCAAACGCAAGGTTGAGCGACGTTAAGTTGGCTGCAAGAGCGCCTAAAAATTAGTGCTGTAAAATATCATAATAGAAGTTACCACCAAATTCAAAACTAGCTGCAGATTAAGTAATTCCCTATTATTTACCAAACTTGTCAACACCTTTAGGTTTATCAATAATATTTATATCTTTATTATCAAGCCATATGAATTTACAGTATTTACAAGCAATATTAAATGTGATATTATCAAAATAAATTGTAACAATTCGCTAATAATTGGGCTGAGAATGTTTTTTTTTTTTAGGTTTTTATGTTTTAATGATTTTTACTTTTTTACTTAGTGCCTAACTAGTCGTATATTGTTTGTTTAAATGATTTAACGTTCCAAAATGCACAATATATTTATATTTTTTCAGATATTTTATAGCTTATCACACAAATTAAAAGGAATTGCTGTACAATTAAGTTGAAAAAATGAAAAACTGTTGCTTCAGAACATCCAATTATCAAATTTCCCGCGACGTGTTTGTTGTCTGTTTTTTTTTTTTGGGAAAAGAGATTAAGCCATTGATTAGATGGATAGTTCTTTTGTTGTATGATGAATATGGACAACTAAGTCTAAAATGCAACTACAGTTCTAGATCTAAAGACATGTATATATATATGTATATATTACTATTAAAAAAAGTTTATAAAAAATTGCAATGGTTTCACGTTTATGATATGGATTATTAAGTTGACTCGATGATATGATGGCAAGATTAAAAAAGAAACAAAATAATAATAATAATAATAATAACAAATTAGAGAGACGTTGAATTTAAGTTTAATTATTTATTTGGATTACTTTACTTAAATGTTTAGGCATCTTCATCGAACTTTATTTATTTAATTATATGTGTGTTGTTTTTTCTGTTTTCTTTTAGTATTTTTTATAGTACATGTTTCATAACTTTAATACATCAATAAAATAAGCATAATGAACAAAACAAATTATAAATTGAATAGATATAGAAATATATATAGATATAGATATAGATGTAGATAGGTAGTATGTATGCTTAATCTAAAGCGCAGCTCATTAAAAAAAAATCACACAATGCCCACAAAAGTTGTTTGTTTTTTCATGTTTTTCAGAATGTTGGTAAAAAATACTTATCAAAAATATATATTGTATATATATATATATAGGAGTACTGCATGCAATTTTCGACCAAAGTTTTTCAGTTGTCCAAACATAAATGGCAAAATTAAACAGTTTACAGAAATTGACAACAGGTGATATTAAGATATAAGAGAATAAAAATTAATAAGTACAATATTGGGATTGTCTTTAGGGGCTGGGAGCTGGTTGCACACAGTTTGACAAGCATTGGAATGTTACGTGTTTTTTTATGGTTGACATTGATTAAAGCTAGCTAAAAATCAATTTTAACTACAGAAATCTAACGAAAAGAAAATTTGGAAACAACAACAATCAAGCTATAGTTTTTGGGGCAGCTAAGTTTTTGTTTGGGGTGTTGCCACTTCAAACTTGCGTCACGCACTGCGCATATTTATCCAGCTCGCCACGCAGCAACTTGACCCGCTCCGCCTCCTCCCGCAGCGTTCGCACCAGCTCCTCAATCGTACGCTGTTGCGTCAGCACCATTGACTCCAATTTCTCCACACGACCCTCAAGCTGTTGCACGCGAGGCATTGATTCTGTTGCAACAACTGCTGCTGCTCCTACTGCTGCTGCGGCTGCTGCTTGATGATTGTTGTGGACAATTGCTGCTGTAGCTGCTGGGCTTTCGTTGAGGCTCATCTTGTCCAGCGGCGTCTTGGATCGTATGGATAAACTGTTGGGTCGTGCTATGCCACGTGATTCCTCATCGCTGCTAACGATGGCTGCCTTTGTTCTCGTCGCTGGAGCATCATGATTGTTATTGTTGTGATTGATGAACTCCTTTCGGTGGCTGTGGCTGCTGCTCGAGGTGGTGCTGCTGCTGTTGCTGCTCTCCACAAACATGGACTGTTGCATGATGCTCGAGGAAGACACCGCGCTCGATTGCACTTTACTTGTGCTGCTTGTGGCACTCGTTGCTGTTGTTATTGCTGATGTTGTTGTTGCTGTTGTTGTTGTGGCAGCTGATGCTGTTGCCTGCTCGGTGGCAAACATTTTGGAGCTGGCTGCAACGACTGCGGCACGCGGCTCAACGCTTGGCGTTGTCTTCTTACGCGTCTCCTGCGATGCTTTTAGCTCTTGCATCCACGGCGCCGCCTTCTTCTCCCAGTCGCGTGGCTTCGGCTTGGCCAGTTGGGGCTCAACCGATTCGCTCGTTGAATTGTCATCGGAGGAGCCCGCTGTTGCCTGTTTGCCGCCAGAGCTTGCCCCACCATCTTCACTTAATTCACTGGCACTGCTGCCATTCACATAAACCGTATTATTATTGTTGCTCTCGCCGAGCACAACATTTACGGCCGCGGAGGGGGGGCGACGGCGTGGTGCTTTCACACGTCCCGCACGCATATCCGGCAAAATAGAGCCACGCTCCACCCGATCGAAATCCGTGTCCTCCACGGCAATTGTTGCAGCACGTCGCATTACCACATTGCCAGCTAGGCCAGAATCGGCCAAATGTCCTCCGCTTCCCAATTTACTGCCTGACAATCCGTCGCCGATATCCTGTGAGACGGTGCTGGTTAGTTTGTTGCTTTCGGCGCTCTTCTTCTTCATGCCACTGCTGGTGCTACTGCTGTTGGTGCTGCTGCCGCCCAAAATGCTGCCTGCAATTGTGAAATGTGTTTGTCAGTGTGCATTTAAATTTGGAAATTATTGAAATTAAAATTAAATAACTCAAAATCAAACACTAAAAATTGATGGGTCGAGTGAGAAAATGTAAAAAAAAAAAACAAATAAATAAATCAAATAATTAATCAATTTAAATGTGCATAATTATTTTCTTAAGCTCGAATTGGATTTTAACTGGTTTTATTTTAGAATTATATTCTATTATTAAGAAATGTATTTTCAAAAAGTGGAAATGCGGTTTGCATCGCCTGCGGTTCGAATCGCCTGAAAATCTTGGACGTTTTTCTTCCAAAATATATTATAAATATATAAAAATAATAATTTTTAATCTATCTATGCACATTCGCAAAATTATATATTTCCACAATTTGAAGTTAATTTCTTTACAACTGCAACTTATCAGTTTAAGCCTGCCGCACTTGAGTTGAGCAATTTAAGAAGAACTAAAGCTAAGCCTCTTCATGATCCTTCAGCACTCTCAACAAACGACCACTATTCCAACTAAAACTTAAGCATTTTCCACAAGCACTCTCAAGTTTTGTAAAGTATTTAAATTCGAGTTATTTCAATTCAATTGCTATCAAAACTGACCTGAGCCCGTGGGCGTTTTCTTGAGCGGCACACTGGGCTTTTTGCCCACAACTGGCGGCGTTGATGATTTGATCTTCTCATCCATATTATCCAGACTCTTGCGCAGCTCGGCATAAACAGCAGCTGTATTTGCTGCTGTTGCTGCTGCAGTTGTTGTTGTGTTGCTGCTGCTGCTGCTGCTCATGTTGCTCGTGGCTGAAGTTGCCGTTGTTGTTGTTATGATTTGCTGCTTGCTGCCAGGCAGTTTGCTCAGATCGAGGTTTTTGTTCTCCAGCGATTTGCGTTGAGCGGCCACAGTGCCAATGGGCAGGCCCGTTTCACTGAGTATATCATTGAGGGAATCGCGAGAACCAAAACTCTCCTTGCGATTGCCACCAGCCGAGGATGAGGAATTGCTGCTGCTGCCCGTCTTTTTGATATAGACCTTCGATGTTGAGGTTGAGGCAACAGTGCTGCTTTGTTGCTGCTGTTGCTGCGTCACTGTGGCGCCTCCGCTTCCGCCTCCACTGCTGCTGCTGCTGCTATTGTTGGTGGCATTCGTTGTGGTCATGTGGCTCGTGTTGTTAATCTTGCGTTGCGTTGTTGTTGTTGTTGTTGTGGCCGCTGCTGTTGCTGCTTGTTGCTCGTTAATGGGCGCAACTGCAAAGGGGCAAAGAAGTGTGGTAAACATATTTAGACAATGAAGTTTCTTATTCATCATGTGTGGGCTGAGCTTGATTTAAGCTATCAAAATCAGCATCAGCATCAGTTCATCATCAGCAAGTCAACTTGAATACTTTGATTATTTATATTTATTATTAAAGATGAGCACATGTCGCACACAGTTTCAACGGCGTGACTAACTGACTACAGAATGGCCAACAGCTGAGTGCGATTTGTGTTTAATGCAAACAACGTTCAAACACATTCACAACTGGGCAAACTGGGCGAAACTGGCAAACGAGTTTTGTTTCGATAGCTGCCACTCAACTGTTGGTTGCCAAATGTCAATAAATTTAATGTTGGAATATCAAACAAAAGCTTCCAGCGAGCGTAGGAGCAAGATGCAAACCAACCAAATTCACACATAGCAAACTACAAATGACAAAGATGGCTAGCGATCGGAGCGTGTCACGCTAAAATGTATGCCAAGCAACATGCAGTTAACCTACTTTTAAAACATACTTGAAATGCACCCATTAATATGTAGTTTAGATTGGAATAGATAAAAAATAATCAACTAATATTGTATAATTTTATGCCATATGTATTTTACTATGCACAGTCAAACTTTTCTCATTTAAACTTAGCTTAGGCGATTTGGCGTTTCAATTAATAAAAACAAATAATAATAAATTAATATTGTATATGTATTTATTATTTGTTTTGTTTACTTTATTTCAAATCGAATTTTCGGTAATTCAAACTATATTTTTATTTCTTTCTTATTTTCTTTACTTTATTGCACTCCGTATTGTGACATTATTAAAACTTAATAAATTTGTACCATGCTCTTTACTACTCTAGCTTCCACAACTTCAACTCCATTTCTCGACAAATTGAATTTGAAACACAATTCTCATACAAATATATATATATCTAAAATCGACTTTACAACATAGCTAAATCGATTCGACTGCTAATGCTTATGAGGAATATATATACCTAGTCGGAGTTGCTTACTTCTACCTGTTGCCTATTCTTGCATAGTACAAAGCTTGATCCTACTACATATATAAGCCGTATAAGATTGCATAAATACTTGTTGAGAGTTGGGAACACATGATTGCTGTGTCACGAAATGACGCTCATCTCTACTACAAAAGACAAATAAATAGCAAATAACAAATAGCAAATAGCAAAGAGCAAAAAGCAAACAGCAAACGAGAGTCGCATACATAAATAAACGGGTATAAGTGATGTGGTTGATGGCAACAGCAGAAATCAAAGCAAACGGCGATTGAGTAACGCTTTTGAAAATGTGTAAAGGTCAAGCAAACGAACATAAATACCAACAACAATAACAACAAATGCTGAATGAACAACAAAAGCAGCAACAACAATAATAACAAGCGATAAAATTGACCAAAGAATAGACAACCAACTTGGCGCAAAGCCGTTGATAATTGTATTAAATCGCGCAAAAAAAAAAAACAACATGTCGTATAAGGAAAAATGAATGTGCCAACAACGACTTTCACTGCTAACAAATGACAATCAAGCAACAACAACAACAAGCAGGAAAAACAAATTGTGCGCGCTTTGGAATTTATTATTTATTGTACAGTGGAAGCTTGCTATTTAGAAAACCGAATATTTATAATCTATGGGTGATTTTATAGTTAAAGTTGTGTAACAGGCAGAGCCCATAAAGTATATATATATTCTTGATCCTCCTGAATAATAGAGTCGACCTAGCCAGTCTATACGAACAAGCAGATATCAGAGATTATGAAAGCGAGATACAAAAGTGGAATATAAGTTCTATTTAACCATGAGCTTGTCAAATCTATTTTCTCTTATTGACAGCATCATTCGATTCCCCAAAATCGATCGAAATCGATAACTGATAGCAATAAAAATCACATTTTTGAAGATTTAAATTTGTAATCTGGTTTGTATATAACTTGACGTAATATTGATCAGCTATAAAAGTTGTATAAAGATTAGCTATGAAGGAATGAAGAAATTGTTTAATAGTTGCAGGCATTTTGCACAGGGTATCTCCTATTCGCGCACTCTCGATTAAAACATTTCTACTAGTTTCTAAATTGAAAATAAAATATGCATTTGTTGTTCAAATTATTATGTAAAAAATTATAGTAAATTCCTATTGCTTTAATCAGACTTCACCGAGCGAGACTTGCAAATATGGAGTCTCCACTGTAAATATATGTTTTTAATTTTTGAGTGTTGGGTAATTGTTTCTGGTCAGGTTGTTGTTACTGTGGCTGTTGCCTAGGGCATACAACAAAAAACCCCAAACGAAAGACTTAGGCAACAAACTTGACTGCCTGTGAATTATTTTAATGATGACTGCTTTTCATTTCTTTTTTCAGTTTTAACAGGCTAATCATCCGTCTCACAAATACAAACACACACAGGCACAAGCACAAGCACACACACTTAAACAAGTGTATATAATTATATGCTTAAGTTTTTTCATGTAACACTAAAAAACTGCCAATAACTCAGAGTCAATGTGGCAAGAAAAATAATATATATATATGTCAGTGAAAAGTTAGTAATGCAATTGCAGAAAGCAACCAGCTAATGTGGAAATGTGGCAAGAATCCGCAAGAACGGTAATTGTGGCACACGCAGCAGCAGCAACTGTGAAACAAAATAAGAAAAACACAAACTTAGCCGCCGCACCGAAAAAAGCAAAAATTAATTCAATAGCGTAGTAAATGGTCAAGAAATCAAAGCGTACTGAGCCAAAAAGGTAAACAAAAATGCTGGCAAAGGTACAAAAACAGAGAAAGAGAGTAAATAATTCCAAGAGAGGGAGAGAGGGAGAGTGAGAGAGAGGGCGTGTAGTCTTGCGCTCTGGCAACATTGTTGATAAGGCCAACAAGTAAAACAATGCTGCCAACAACAACAAGTGAGGCATGTTGCTTTTGTTATTTGTGTTTGGGGCTCGTCTCTCGTTGATAATCGCCACTAATGAAGTTCATAACAAGCAATGCTTATGCTCATCATGATCTCATCGCTTGATGAGCTAAAAGCAGAGCGAGAGAGAGCGAGAGAGAGCAAAAACAGCGAGACTCAAACAGAAAAAAAAGAGACTCGACAGACAGACAAAAAAAATAAAATAAAGAAATAAAAAAATATATGTAGCTGGAAAACCAGTTACAACAAAACAGATATTTTAATATTATGTCTGTTGTTGTTGCTGCGAAGGTGGTTGTTGCCGTTCTTCTTATTATTGTTGGTGTTGTTTTTTTATTGGTGGTTTGTGAATCTGCGACGTTGACAAAAGGTAAAATAGCAAGACAAAAAAAAACCAGAAAACTCAGTTTGATTTATATACTCGTACATACCTAAACAGTAAATTAGGTGTGAAGAGAATAACTTGTGTATAATATATATATACTAATATATATAAATATATAATATATAAATTCATTTTACTGTCCAGATGTGTATATAATCAAATATAATATGTAGTCGCAACGAATATTTCATACACTACTTCCAGATAAAAATTTGCATTTTATATAATTTATATATAAAATGTGTGTGATTATTATTAAATTTGAGTTATTGTCCAAAGCACTGTCAATAACATTATTATATTATCAACATGTCAGCATTAATATACATAATTATATATAAAATAATTATTGACCACTGCATTTATCATTAGACCATTATTAATCCGTGATATAATAATAAATAATGGAGGAAAAATAATAAATTAAAGGATGCCAGACAAGAGAAAGAGCTCGACTGAATGATATCCTGTAACCAGCTGTTAAATTAATAGACTTTCTTTCTGAACGATCTTAATGAACTGTACACAGTTGATCAACAATATGTCTGGCTATATTATATATGAATTGGAAGACTGACTATATCTCTTTAGTTTATCTTTTATTACTATTACTATATTCGAGAAAATAAATTTGTTATTTTGTTATTATGACTTACTCATGCCGACAGACCTAAGCAGATGAACTCGACTATTGATCTTGATCAAGAATATATATATATATATATATATATATATATATATCTTGCCTCTTCCTGTTACATACCTTTGTACAAGTGCATTATATCGCATTCACATTTTGTATTCAATATTTAATTAGATAATTCTTAACTCAATACTCGCATTTACTTATATATTTTTGAGAATTGACGCAATCAATCTAAAAATATGCTTACGTTTCTGCATACTTTGCACAGTGTTTGCAAAAACAAAACAAAAATAAACACGAAAAATCCGTCTGAATTATAATACAATCTAATCAGCGCCTTTCCCGTTTCCGATGGCACTCAGTGAGTCAGTGGTAGTAAAATAAATTATCAGGCATTCACATCAACACAAATAATGTGTTTTATAGTATTTTTAATGATTTTATTTAGTTTTTAAGTTAATGTTTAATGCATTAAACCAGCAACTTTGTCTGAATAAATTGTAGAAAACATTTTCAAGCCGTGTGCAACAAAACCCACAACAAAATGGTATAGACCGCAAATCATGTGTAGCACGAGTAAAACCAATATGAAAAGTCAACAAATACCGAGTATAAATAAATAACTTGGTTTATATGTATATAAATAAATGTATATATATATGCATACGGATTTAAACAACAACCGCAAAGTATGCAATGCGTATCGAGTTAAATATGCTTAAATATTCATAAATAAAAAGCCAAACAGTGGCAACTAATTAAGCAGCAAAGTCAAACAGCCTGCGAGCGTTTAAAACAGCGCCCGAAACGTGCGCAAAACGCCAAGATGACAAATGGAAATAAATAAATAATTAGAAAAAGGCATAGGAAAAAACCAGTTTAGCCAGGAAAAAGTGGACAAAACTAAAAGCGAAAACAAAACACGACAAACCGCAAAAGAAAAACAACACCAAAGATTTTCCGAGACTTTTGGTTTCTTTCTTTCATATTTTATTTTATTTCTATTTTTTTTCTATTGGGGCGCCGTGTCTAATTTTAGAGAGCACTGACGGCGCCCCAAAGAAAGCCAAAATAATAAACATAATGAAAACGGAAAATAAATCATACAAATTATGAAGCCAAAAGTAATTTTCCATTTTATACAACCAAAAAAAAGAGAGGCCTCCGGTAACGGAGAAAGGAAAATTGAAAACTGGCGGCCAAAAAAACGAAAAGGAAAAACTGTTTAGAGGCGGCTTGGACTGGAAAAACTCGTTTACATACAAATCGTTGTGATAAAGCTGGCCATACGAGCGCCCAAGAACTCGAAAGAGCCGCCGCCGCCTCGTTGCTGTCCCCACCCCGCCGATGCCGAAGCCGAAGCCGAAGCCGGTGCCGTTCCCCCGCTCCGTGTTCGTGGCCGGGCCCGGGGCCTTGGCGGTGGCAGAGGAGGGGGTGCTGCCCCGCGACATCAGTGTGTGTGTGTGTGCAGTTGTGTGTCGAGTGTGTGTCGAGTGTAGTTTGTTGCAATAAAGTTTTTTTATCACACACACACATATATGGAAAACATTTACATTGTTGTGTTAAGAAAGAAATATTTGTAGAAGAGGAGTAGAAGAAAAAAGGAGAAAAGTGTAGAGGAAAATTACACAGAGACATCAACACGAGACATAAATATAATGCAAGAAATAAAATACAATCTTGTATTACTTGTACAGACATAGAAAGACAGAGAGAAAGAGAGAGAGCGAGAGCGAGAGAGATGGCGATAGTGAAACGTAAATAAAATGCTAATTAAAGTCGAGTCCAAAAAATGCAAGTAATAATAAACATGAAAATCAAACCGAAACTAAATCGAAAATGTTGTTCAAGCTGTTTAATGGGAAGGAAATGTTGAATGTTAAATGTTGAATGTTGAATGTTGAGTGGTCGATTTCAAAATGTCTGCAAGTGATTTTGAAGTGGTCTAAGTGGGCTTTTCGAGTGGGCTTTAGAGAGAAAATGCAATGCTCCAAAATGGTTTAGAAACATGCAAGAATGCTTTAGATGAGAGACAGCTCGACGAGTAAATACCCTTAAAGCTATAAATTGAAATTATCATTTTCTTAAGTACCTCTCAATCGATCTTGATAAAATTCTTACAGCTGATCAGTATTATGGCATGGCATATATAAATATTTAATATTTAATTAGAATGTTGTATCTTCAAAATGGTGGCTTTCGTTTCTTATTGATTTGTATCGATATTTTTGGAGCTGGGCAAATATATATATAATAATTAAATAACTTGCCCATGATATACGATAATTCATAAACCATTTAAAGTCTCTGGCTCTTATTGACCCTGTTTATCTGGAAAAGGAATACATATACCTTATAAAATCGACGATAATTCCTCCTGCCTGTTAAATACTTTTCACAACTTTATTAAACTATTTTAAAATATTTCTAATCTGTACAGGATATGAAAAACTGTTTAAGATTTCTGAGATTTAACTAAATCTCTATATTTGAATGGATAAGTGAATAATATTTCAATTTACACATTATTTCTTTGAGTATATACAATCTGTGTGCAACAATATTTACATTTACTTTATATACTTGTTACAAGTGTGATCTGTTTTCGAAGGAAAACCAATTAATAAGTCCAATCCAAGCTAAACTTATGCTTATAAATTGCAAAATATGCTCTCACTATTACTCGGTACTCAATTTGAGTTTATTACTCAAATTAAATATTAATTCCATAAAAAATATTATACTTTTGTAGTTTATATAGATGTTTCCAAGGAAATTGAGTAATTGATATGGGATAAAAGTGTCATGATTTTAATATTTGGAAAGTAATTGTAATTTAATTGTAATTATTTTCAATATAAAATACTGAATTATTTAACTTAAATCAACATTTTAAAGCATTTTAAGTACAACTAATTGAACACAGCTAATTAATTACTGAAGCAGATAATAGCAGCTCCGATTTACACTCATGGATCGTGCGATATCTATGTGAGATGATAACTTCCAAATTTTCAAAACAAAATTTCAATATCATGGCAAGAATAAATGATATTTTGAAAATTTTATTGTTATTTTTGCAAAAGAAATGAAAAAAGATTAATTTCCTTTGTCTCGCTCTAGTGTAACTATTTTGCTGTCCATGAGTGTATTTAAAGAACTATCTGGCCACAAAAACGTTTACACTAGCCTATCAAACAGTTAGCTTTGTTAAATTGATTTGGTTCAATATCATTTCTGTTAGGCTTGTGACTCAAATCTTATCAGTGTGATAAAGTTGCTCGTGAGACTACCTTGACTATAAATATGAAACTAGCTAATAATTGCCAAGGGTGGTATTTTTTTTGGATATTTAATTTATACACTTGGCAAAAGAGCAAAATGGGTAAGGCGATTCAATTGACTATTTAAGAAAATTGCACTTGATGACGAATGAGAATTCAGATATGACGACTGATGACAAAACTCATACAGAGAGAGAAAGAGAGAGAATAAAACTTATACATGTGGCATGATGATGGAGATTTCAATTTTAGTTGTTGCTGTTTGTTGCACTCACCTTCAGAGGGGGCGAGTAACTTGACAAAATTATCGGGAAAGACGCCCACTTTGCCACGGAGTTCGCCCTTCCACCAGCCCTTGTCGGGCAGCTCCATGCTGACCACACTGATGATGTCGTCCACCTTGAGCTCCAGCTCATCCTCATTTTGTGGCGCATAGGGGAATTCGACGCGACAATAATCACGTTGCGGTTTCGGTGGTAACGTGGGCGCTGCCACGGCTGCTGTTGCAGCACTTGCCACAGTTGCTGCCGTTGCTGCCGCGACTGTTGTTGCATTCGTTGATGCCGTTGCTCTGCTTTTTGTTTGCTTCGTTGCTGATGTTGCAGCAGTTGTTGTTGCTGCTCCTATGGCAGGTGCTGCTGCTGTTGTTGTTGTTGTATTCGTTGGCACCACCGTTGTGGCAATATTAGCAGCCTTTGCCGTTAGTGCCGCCGTTGTGACCGTTGCACCAATCGTTGGCGGCCGCTTGGAGGCCAAAATGGGCGATGGTTCGATATGTCGCACAAAATTTGAGGGAAATACGCCAACTTTGCTGCGCAAACGACCGCGCCACCAGCCTTCTTCGACCTAAATGACCAAATAAAGAGAACAGAAACAGAAACTGAGTTTTTTTTCGTCATATTTCGCTTTTAGTTTGTGGAATTTGTTGTTGTTGTTTGTGTTATTTGGTTATTGGCAAAGAGGTTAAATGGGGGTTGTGGGCACACTAAATATATACGCTCTGTGGGAGCATATGTAAATGTCTGTGTGTACATGTACACTCAGAGAAAACTGTTTGAGCTTTCCAGTACATTTCCATCCGAAGTATTCCCCAATTCATATTTATGCTTCTTGATTTCGACAAATGTCCAAATAAATGGTATTTCTCGTTCTTGATAACAAAATAAAAAACATACTTGAAATTAATATAAATCGTATTAGTTTTTAGTTAATTTATTTGATTAAAGCTGATTTTGTATTATTTTAACCAATTTAGTACTTAAGAACTTTGTAGTTTTTTAAAAACTTAAACTTGTTTAAGATTTTAAATACAGGATTAAAGCTGATCTAATAATATTTGTAGATGTAAACAAAATTGATTTAAGTACAAGTATTTTTGTACTTGAAACATTTTAGTTTTTTGTTTAAGAACTAAAATACTGTATTCAAACAGTTTGAGTTTGATTTTAAGATAATTAAGATAATATAACTGATTTAGTACTATTTGATGATGGTAACATATGATTTAAGCTTTATTATAATCACTTTTGTATTTCTAACCGTTTTCGTTGTTAGTTGAAGAAGCTCAAGTAATTAGTTCAAGCTGATTTGGTTTCATTTTGAGATGATTAATATTATTATAAAAATATGTATACAGAGAACGTTGTAGTTTTTCGTTTAAGAACTTAATTAGAATTATTTAATTTTTGTAAAAGTTATTTAAAGATTAAAACAGAATAAATTAAAGCATTTAGTTATTCAAAATATGAAATTGATATCTTTTTTTTATTTATCAAGTTCTTGATTTAAGAATAAGCACAATCAATCATAAGTTCAGCTGAACCCAATTATATTTAGGCATTTGGCAGTTGCAGATTTCTCTGAGTGTATAATGCTGTTTGTATATGTACGTACCTCCCCTAGGAATTCAATGACATCACCCACGGCCAGCGTCAGTTCGTCGTCGTTGACTTGTGTGTAACTGTAGATGACTTTACAGCGGCGATTCGATGTCGCTGATTTCTCCCTGAGAGAAGCGGCAAGCAAAATATAAAAAAAAGAAGAAATAACAAACACAAAGAGAGGAAATTACAGAGAGTGCATAAATGTAAATAAAGAGAGCGTTTGCAAATATTTAGTACAACAATTTATGTGTTGATTTAAATGACACCAGCTGATTGCTGTGGTAACTAGAATATTCTGAAACAGAGATGTGCCTTAAGTTGAAAAATAGATAATTATAATTATATATAATATAATTATTGAAAAGTTTTACCGACAAGTGAAGCTGGCATTTACTTTAAAAGTGAAGCTTTTCGCACTAGGAACATTCTTTAGAGCTTTTATGTTATATATTTTTATGATATAGCAAACGATTTCTGAAGCAAACTTAATATCCAACAGATTTCGGGGGCTTGCCAGGAATTTTCATTTTCGTAAGCTTCCAGCTGATTTCAGGAGTTATTTTGATTATAGCAAGTTGATTTTTAAGGAGCTTTCTTGTAACATTAATTTTTGTAAGTTTCCAGATGACTTCCGCAGTTTTTCAGGAACTTTCAAATAAAGGGGATATAAAGGCAAATGATTTTAATCTACATTAGTTCTCAACAGATTTTAGGAGCTTTCTGAGAGCCTTGATTTTAGCAAGTTTCCAACCAGTTTTAGTTACGTTCTGAGAATGATAATTATCTCACTGATTTCAGCCGCTTTCTAAGAAATTCAATTTGGTCAGCTTCCGGTCGATTTAATCTGCTTACAATGCATTTTTATAAGAAATATTTAATTTAAAGCGACTTTAAAGTGAAACACAAATTATAAATATTTATCTTAAGTTGATTCTCATATATTATTAATTTCCTATTAGTTAGGTGTCATTTCTAGGCTAGTATCATTTGGGGCTGGGGCTGAAATTGCGTCACCAACCTGAGCTGGACAACCGCACTGTCATCGCTGTGGTTGCCATTGCTGCTCGGCTCCAAAACGCGCACAAAATTATCGGGAAACATGCCCGTTATGCCATTGGCCTTCAAAGTGCCCTGCCACCAGCCGCCGGGCATCTGTTTGATGCGATGGAGGATGGCACCCTTGTGTAGATCCAGTTCATCTGGTTCCTTGGCAGCGTACTCGTACTCCACTATTGCACATATTGCTGCAAAAAGAGAGAGAGAGAGAAAGCGTGTGTGTGAGAGAGTAAGAAAGATAGTGTTTTATATGGGACAGGACTAGCGCATCTATAATGCCAATGTTCAAGTGCAAATATTTACTAATGCGCAATCGAGAGTCTATTTGGCGACCCTTTCCCCCCTTTCCTATATCGGGTTTTGCTACGTGACACTCACATTTTCGTTCATTTTGTGTTTCTATGGCTTGAAAAGTAAAAGTTACATGACAAGCTCTTTGTCTCCACTTAAAGAAAAAAAAAAAACAAAAAAACAATAAAAATAATAAGAAACTTAAATAAATGCGAATCGTGGGCGCTAGGCGTCAAAAAAATTGGGTTAGCGTTTTGCCATTTGCAGTCACTGTGTCGTTGTGTCTATTTAATTGGTTAACCCCCTTGAAAATTGTTATTTGTCAGACGACTTTTCTTTTCGCCTATCGTTCATAATGCTTATCAAACTGGTGCGTAGAGATTTGTAGTCAATTAATATGATGTCATATATATTTGCCTTGACTCATATCTAGTTTATTTGATGTGCGATGAGTAATTGTAGATCATTTAAAAAAATAGAAGAACAAATAAGAATGGTCGAGTCAAGAGAGCCCGATTCCGACATTTACAGATTTAAGGACATTTCTATGAATTGTCATTTTAGTAAACTTGCAGTCGATTTAATGAGCTTTTTAGGGAATTTTAATTAATTATTAATTATAATTTCTTTTAAATATTTAAGCTGTATTTGAAGTTGAAAACGCCATTTAATAATATTTACACATTTAAATGGAACAAACTTCAAACTCTTCAAATTATCAACCAATTACTGATAAATAATCTATATTTTGTTTATCATCAAAGACCAAACAACACAATGACAACAACAATGCCCTGAGCCACAATGCCACGATGCAACAATAACAATAACAACAATAATAATATTGCCGGTGCCATAATTTCTTATAAGCTATGCTTAACTCGCTCGCCTTCAATTCAATTTAAATATTAACAATAACAACAACAAACTGAACAACATCATGTCCCAAACATATTTTTATTGGAGGTAACTGCCCCCGCACTATTGACTCATATTTTGTGCCACTTTTCTGATACCCTGTAGCCATTGAATACGGTTGAAGGGGGTATAATGAAGTGACACTCAACTCATTAATTTCAATTGCCTTTTCAAATTAAACTATGTGAACTTTATAAATGAAATATTAAAATATTATTACTTATTAATAATAACCTAAGCAAAAAAAAAAGCTAATTATAGAAAGATCTTTGTCACATATAAGTAAAACCTCCTGAGAAATTAGACATATTTTTTTTAAATTTAATAAAAAATATACACTGTATTTAAGAAATAGAAAAAAACGTGATTTTTAGAAATATACTTTCTGAATATTAAAGTGAGTTACCCTTGACGCTAAGAGTATGAATAATGTCTAAAATTCAAAGCCATTTTTTCAGCACGCTTACTAAGCTGGTTATCTTACATTTAAAGCTGGGTATCTGCTATTCCAGCTCTCTCGACTGGTCCATTCTGCCTTTTTTATGACTGACATATGTGTGCTTTTACGATGGCTCAAGTCTGAGACTCAACAGCTGCTTAAGACTCAAAGATATAAATTGAAACACAAACTGAAGCATTGATGGGCTTACGACTGTGACAGAAGGGAAATTGCACACACTTCATGATACCCTTTTTTAACAGTGCAAAATTCAGCGGAAGAATGTTGAATTGTGTCGACACTCACAATAAAAATCAATCTTGAATTTTAGGAAATCAACATAATATGAAAATTAGAACTAGTAAAAATAATTTTAAAATTTAAAAAAAATATTGCAATGCTTGCGATTTTTTCTGAGTGTTGATGCAATTTCTTTTTTAAGAACTTTTAAATTCTATTTTGAACAAAAATCGAGCTTAAACCATTGCTAAAAATACGCTTAAAAATACTCTTATCTAATATAACACCAAATGCCAATCCAATAAATTCCACTGATACGTGATGTTGTTTTGCCTCCAACAGCAATGAAAGAGATAAATGTACTTCTTTAGAGTCAATAGTGAGTTGAGGCTGCTACTTCTTTAATGGCCATAAATAATTATGAGGCTAAGAAATTCAGTGTATGTGGAGAGGGGGGAGTGGAGAGGGTATGAAGAGCCTTCGAGTGTAAACCATTTAGCGACGTGTAATAAATAGCTAATGGATACTGACTCGCATCACACTGATAATGAACAATTAAGACAGACTGTCACAGAGACGAATGCTTTTCTCGATTTTAACGAGTTTTCTTTTGACAAGTCAAGCAGAAGAAGGGAGGGGGACGAGAAGTGGGACCACCAACGTTGAAGTGACAGCCAAATTAAATAAAAATCTGCTTTTCGGGCGCACATAATAATTTCACTTCAAAAGAGAGATAGAGCGAGACAGATGCAGCGTGAGAAAGGCTAACAGCGAATAAGAGAGATAGAACGAGAAAGGCTGCCAGAGAGAGAGAGAGAGAGAGAGAGAGAGTGAGAGAGAGAGAGAGAGAGAGTGAGAGAGAGAGAGAGAGAGAGAGAGAGAGAGAGAGAGTAATAGTGAGAAAGCCCAACCCACAAAGGCAGAGAGAGAAGTGGCAAAAGTGCTGCAAGCAAGCACACAAACTTGCCTCGGCTCGAGAGTCGCCTCGCCCCGAGTCTCCGCCAATTTGTAAGTGGGCCAACGCGGCCATATTTCATTTGCAGTTTAACCCTACGCAGAAGACAGAAAAAAGCCAAAGCCAAAGCCAAAGCGACATCCAAATGAACCTTTTATGTGGTTTTGCTTTTGCTTTTAATGCCCATCAAATGAACAAACAAGTACGAATGCAATAGTCACAAGAACTCGACAACGAGATACCCTAAATATCTTACGTCTCAGAAATGTATCTTTTTATACAGTAATTTTGGTTTTTATGAGGTTTCCCCATTGGATAATTTTTCTATTATTATATTACATTTTTATTTATTTTTACAATTTATCAATGATATGTCCAGACAGACGGACGGATATGGCTAAATGAACTTTTAATTCGGACCAAGAATATATATGCCTTATGGTATGGGAGATGCTTCCTATTGCCTATTACAAACTTTGGCAACACTTCAGTATACCCCTTCTTCCATTTTAAATGGGTTCAGGCCATAAAAAGTTGTGTAATTGTTTGTAAATAAGAGCAGAGCAGAAGACACCTGCAATTATAGAATATACATACATATATTTGGACATAAGCATTCTCAACAGCTGTGTCTGAGTCGGGCAAATAACATAATTTATGCAATCTTGAATCTAAGATTTTGTCAAAGATACGTGACGGCAAATTTATTTCTTATTTCACAACACACACGAAGATAAAACTGACGGCAATATCAAATAGACACCATGCAATGTAGCTATTATTATTTTCATCTTCTCTAAAGTTGGAAAGATTTATGGAGTTGCTTGTGATTGTACTCAAATTTATTTATTTATGTAAAACTAATTCCTTTTAAGACGCAGTACTCAAGTAAACAAACACATTTCTTTAAACACAAAAATATGACTTAGAAATTGATTTTAAAAGCAGATCGAATAAGTTTTTAAATGAAACACTGATCAATCATACAATGGTAAGATAACCAAGGAGGACTCTTATCGAGAAGATAGTCAAAAACGTGAACAGATATGAACGCAGCACCCATCGTCATATGAGTTCGCCGAAATGATAGAATAATGAGTCTAGAGGCATAATGTATCTACCTAATCCTAAGTAGGATAAGAATAATTGTAGATAGCTTTAGAATATAAAATATAAGATATATTTTATATATAATAAGTAGAAAATAAAAAATGCAATAAATAAATAGTAAATAAAAATAATAAATAAAAATATAATAACAAAGAAAACTAACAAATAAATTAATAAATATAAGTTGAAGTGTATATTTGTTTTAAATATGACTAAAGATAGATATTCAATTACTTAATACACAAATGAATATGAGCAGAAATGTGTATACGATAGGGTATCTAGCTAGTCGAGCACTCACACACACTTTTCCGTTCTTACTCGTTTTTTTGCTGTTCATTTCTTTTTTTCTGGCCACAATACAAGAGCGCATCTGAATGTGCTTTAATAAACCCACTGACAGACAACCACAAAGCTTGAGTCAGCTAACAACTACAACAATACTTGTACAACACACACACACACATATATATATATGTATATATCAATATGTATATGGTAGAATGGGAAGCATGCAACAACGACAAACAGACAGACAGAAAGAGACAGTTGGCGTTCGTTGTGAAATGAGGCGCGCCAGCTAAATGCTGAGAAATGGTGAAAAGTTGCAGCATTAAGTGGTGAAAACCACCACAACGAAAACAACAAAAACAACAGCAATGAGGAAAACAACGAAATCAACAACACAAGCAATAAGGAAAACGACAACAACAAACAGCAACAGCAACAACAACAAAAACCACTGAAAAATGAGGCGACGACCGTGGTGCGCGGTGTCGTGTGAAATATCCAAGCTAAGCCAAGCCAAGTTGTTCTCCAAACGGGCAAATCGTGCAAATGTGTCGAAAATTATAGAAAATGGACAAAAAAAGCTCTAGGTGCGGAATGAGTGGGCGATATTCTTCTGCACCCACTATATGTGTCTGCTCAAAAAAAGCTGAGCCAATGTCAAAGTCACACACACACACAAATAGACATACAAATATGCAAATTGTCCTATTCAAATTGTAGCAAACTGAAAACTAGAATTTAAAAATGTCCGACTTAAAAATGCACTAATAAATTTTGTCTAAATTATGTGGCTCGAAAAAAATAGTGTATATAACTTTGAGTATTGTATGAAGTTGAATTTATCGAGCGAGTGAGTTTAATTAAGATATTTTGAAAATGCGCATTTTTTATACATTTGTTTTTTAGATGACCTAATTTATTAGCGCTTATTTAGAGTGTAAATT